GTCGCTGACTTGCACCGAGGTAATTTAGAACCGAATTGATAAACATGTTTCTTTAGCAAAGTGACTGTTTCTGCAGAGTGTGAATGAGTTAGTTCATATCATCTGTTGCACTGTAGTCTCCATTCATTACTTTAAAGGTTAATTAACTCCACCTTCAGTTCTATTCTCTTCCTTTCCCCTCCTGCTCTCCAACACAGCCCCAGATGTGGGTTTGTTCAGCAGCCTGGAGGGGAAGCAGTGCTCCCTCCAGCCTAGCTGCTGTCACAGCTCCAGGTCCTGGGAACAGGATCCCTCTTCCACCTGCCTCATCCTGCAGCTCCTGCTGCTCTTGTGCCCTGTCATTCATTCCCCTCACCAGGCTGTGATGTGTACAGGTGCCAAGACTGCTGTCATTGCTGATAAATTTAGAGACAGCAGAATTGACTGTGCTGATGCTGGGACAGATTATTCTCTGCATGTAGGGACGGGAGCAAGCCCTAGGAAGGGTGTTCTGGTGGGCTTTTTTATTCCTGTTTGGTTGGAGAAGTTAAGGAAAGGAGGGCAAGATATAAAGGAATGGTATATTTTTTGAGGGGGTGAGGGGATCTGACCTAGCTCAGTATGTTGTGGTGGGAATTGTATTTCCCTGGGTAGTAACGTACAACAAAGGCTGAGAACAAGGCACATTTGGTTCATGACTGTATGATCCCTGTTTATGTAGTTACTGATTTTTTTAGAAGAATTCTGGAAGGCTTGTGGCTTAGTTTCCCACCTTTGCATCCAGAGGTGTAGCTCTTGGGATGCCTCTCAGTGTTTGTCAGTTGCTGTGATGCCTCAGAGGAAGATCTCCTGTCTTAGCACTGCACGGGTGACTCAGTGGAGCTCCTGTGAGAGAGCTAGTGCCCTCCTGTCTGGTACCTGAGCAGAAGTTTGTCTGGCTGAGGGGAGATCCAGGGATTCCTTTGGAGACAGGGCCACAGGCCCTGGGAACGATTCCTTGTAGATGGTTATGGCAGGGTGAGGATGCTGCTTGTCCTGGAACCTGCTCCTGAGCCTGGCACAGCAGCACATACACACCTCTCTGCTCACCCTCCTGTTGGCAGGTGTAGTGGAAACTCTCCTCCTCCTCCATTTCTTCCTGTCTGCTGCTGCTTCCACTAGCTCTGTAGTGTCATAATGAATTGCTGTGCTCTCCCTGCTCAGGGATCCTCACGAAATAAAGAGGATTAGGACGTACAAACTTAACTGTGTTTGCTTAATAAATCTGCACTCCTTGTCAATTCCATTGATGTGACAATGTGCTTTGGCACTTGGCCATGTCTGTGATTAAATGATTGAGCTTTCTGGTGTTGATAAAGGGCTAATTCCATAATCTTAATGGAGAACTTAGTCCTCAGTCATGCTACGTTGCAGTGGCACCAGAGCTCTCAAAATGAACAGCTCTGGTCTGCATCTGAAGGAAGGAGATCTCGGAGGTATTTATGGTATTTCAGGGAGCAGTAGCAGTCCCATTCCCCTGGAAGCTGTCACCCAGCTGCTCTCCTGGCTCTGTTGGCAGGCAATGACTTGTCAGAGATGCTTCTGAAGGGCCAAGGCTCAGAGCTGGGATCCTGAATCTTTGTGACCCCTCAGGATGCCTTGGCACTGTGAGTGTCCAGCAGGACCCTAGAGAGGCTGCATCTCTCAACAACCTGTACACCAGCTGCTTGCAAAGTGCTGCTTGGATCAAACCTGGGCTTATTGCTTGAAGATAATAACGGGAAGTTTGCTGAACTAGCGGAAGGAAGGTGTCTGTGGGCAGAGGTGGAAAACATGCATTATTCATGGTCTCTGGGGGCTGCTCTCAGACCCCTCAACAAGGAGATCACAGCCCCTCTAAATGAGGCATAGTCCTGGCAAGTCATTTTCTGCTTTGCACAGTACTTTTTAAAGCCTCACTGAGGGAGCAAAACTTATGATTAAGGATCATTAAAACTGTTTGGGGATTGTATTGTAATGCCAGGTTTTTGTTTGGATACTTCTGCTTCCTTTCTGATCTTCCAGTGCAAAGGATGAAGGGGCCTCAGTCTGGGAAAGGGTTCTGGGGGCTCCCATGGCAAGAATAGCTAATGATGGTCAAGGATCAGCTGTGGAGAAGGCAAAGAACAAACATCTTTCACTTGTAATGTGAAAATAAGATGAGTTAAAATGATTGCCTGAGCAGCACTGAGCCAGCAAAGGGAGTCAGGGAGGCTGAAGGAGCAGTTACTGGGAAAGATGTGGTACTCAGAAAAATTCTGGGAACTGCTACTCCCAAGGTTTTGATTTGCTTTGTTTGAAAGACAGTTCAGAGATCTACAGAGTTAAAACTCTGCTGGTAGATTTTGTTTGTGTTTGGGTTGTTTCCCCTTCCTGGCTAGTGTATTTTTTTTGTACTTAACCTTTGCCCCTTACTTGTTTGCATATTATTTAGTGACTTTACGAGCAGGAGCTGTTTTCCAGAGTTACTGATTTCCACTGATTATGCATCATTCCCAACTGATTTGAGTAGTTACAGCGTGTGCTTGGTTATTATTTTGGGTTCTCTGCCTTTTCCAGGGCTGAGATGAAACCTCTGTGCCCTTTCCAGCTGGGCCTGGCAAGGACCAGCACTAGCCTTTGGTGTCTCTGGTTCTGTGTGACTTCCTTGAGGGTTTCTGGGGCTTTGCAGAAGTGTGAGAGATTGTCCATCTCATGTCCATAGACTTCCCAGAGATCACCATTAAATCCACTGTAAGAAGCTTAATGTAAAATTCTGTAGGTCTGGAAGAGCTGCTGGCCAGCAAATTAAAATCTGATATAAAGTATGAGCTGAGGCTATTAAACCCAGTCCTGCCTGGGGTGGTGGCTTCCCTCAGACCTGCCTCTGCCCTCTGTGCCCTCCTGGGCCTGGTGGCTCTTATGTAAGAGCAGCAATCAGCACTGTGATGCCATTAGCAGTAAGCTTTGCTGGGCTGCTCTCAGTGCTGTCCTGGGATTTAGGTAGAACCTGCTCTGGGGGCTGGAGAAATGTGGGGAGTAAATGGCTTTTAATGGCATTAGTGTCCATGCAAACGTGGAGCCACAGGGTGGTGAGGGGAGTGCAGACAGCTGAGAATGTTGTGGGGTTTGGTGGTTGTTTGGGGGCTTTTTGTGATAGCATCCACAGTATCTTTACTACCTGGAACAGGAATTGTGTACTGGTTTCCAGTTCAGGGTGTGGAGGCCTTTAAAATCATCCAGCCCAGCACCATCACCTTGTTCGCCACTAAACCATGTCTCCAAGAGCCACATCCACACATTTTTCTAACCCTGGTTGGGATGATGACTCCATCCCTGCCCTGGGCAGCCTCTGCCAGTGCTTTACAACCCTTTGAAAGTACCTAGTGAACCCAAAAATACCAAATGCAGAGTGTACAGCTGCTGTTGATTTGTAGTTAAAAAAGTAACTCCTGTGTTTTATGGGTTCTCTTATCTCCCCAAGCTTAATGTAGGTTAATGCAGTTGATGCATATAATTTAGAAACCCAGTGGATATCCTCTTTCATAATTACACTTCTCAGTGTTTAGTAATGCTCTTTATGTTTATTTAATCTCTTTGTTTTGTCAGAGAGCTGTAACAGTAAGTCCCTAAGAACCAGACATGAGATCAAATCATTTGTCTCCTGGTTGCACTTTGATATATTAATTTATCAACATATAGTAGTATAATAGAGAAAAAACCAGAACTGTATTTGTGGGCAGCACTCAGGAATTTGGTCTGAGCTTTGATTTTTAAAGAAAAATAACCTGTCTCACAACTTCAGTGGTGCAACCTGAACACTCAGTTGTAGGACGCTGTCCCTAAAGCTATTCAGTATATTCACAGTGTGGTGTATTTGTTTGTTAAGGGCCAACTCAATTAATTTACTAAGGCTTGCTGTGTACACCTGAGCTGTTTGCATGTAGCAGCGACACACTTTGCCCCTTGCAAAAATAGGTTTCTCTGGCTGCCCTGAAATCAAAGATTAATTATTGCTTAAAGCCCTATGTACCTTGTCTGACAGCTTTCCTGTGCTGTCTCACAGGAGCTGATGGAAATGGGGGTGAGACTGTGCTCAGGGTGACCTGGGAGTGAACTTAGGACAAGCATCAAGTTGATTCAGTTGAAACTTTGCCCCTGCATGTGACAGTGCACAGGACACACAGTAACGTGTGTGCAGGAGCTTTTATCAGTTCAGATAGTTACCATCTCTCTGCAAGTAAGGGATCATGGGAGGCAGTGGTGGAAATAAGAATGATTTAAAAGTGAAATTCCACAGAAACTCACTAAAAGAGTGAAATAAGTCCCTGTTCACCCCAAACTTGTGTCCCTGATGTAGGGTCTTGGCAATAGAGACTTTTGCTACTAATGATCAGTCAATAGTATTTTCTTGAACAGCTAAACCTCAAAATATAGTAGCAGAAAAATGGCCAGCATGTTTGCTTAACCTGATGGACATGTTGTGTGGGGAGTGGATGTTGGTTCACTGCTGGGATGTATGGTCAGTTGCATTTCTAGTTTGCTGAAATGTTGCTCAGTGTAATGGCTGAATCCCCTAAACATTTTCCTTCTGGTGTCCACTAAAGGGTCCTGCATGCCTTAGAAGCTCTGTGGAGAAGCACAACAGCCAAGCAGATGTGCACATCAGAACTATGAGTGCTGAGAATGACATCAAATTAATTGCCAACTCCTGGGACACAGGGAATGGCTGAGCAGAGCTGAGTGTTTCGAGGGATGCTGGTGAGGTTGGTGCTGAGCTCCTGCTCCCTGTCATTAAGGACTGGATTGCACATGGGCTAGATTAGAGCTGACCAAGCTGGCTGATTTGGAGCGGATTAGAGGCTTTTGGCTCACAGGGCTGAGTGCAGGGAGCGCTCAGAGCTCCAGCTCAGTGTGCCCAGCAGCACATCTACTCAGCAGTGAGGAGCAGCGTGCTTAGGTACAATACATACTCTCTGCCTAACGTGCAAGATTCCAGCAACATCCAGACTTCCAGGGGCTCCATGGCTCTCCTTCTGGCTTCAGAGGTCTACCACGTGCTGGGCAGTGTGGCTGCTCCAGAGAAGGTCGAGCTGGCACAGATGGGTTTGTATCTGGTTTACCCTTGGGCAGAGAAGCAGCTCCTTCCCAAGAGGAGATGTGTGTGTGCTGCTGGGAGTGACTGGCATTGCTTGAACTGAAAAATCCAAAGTGCTCTTTGAATTCAGGTCTGTTCTGTTGTAAATGGCTATTTTGGGAGGAAAAAAATAGACTGGTATTTCAATATTATTCAATCCCATTAAATAGAGGATGTCTGTTTGGATGATTTTAGACTGTCAGGTTTGCATAACTCTGAAGACAGAAGTGACAGTAGTTTTCAGGGGGGGTTTATTTGATATTAAAGCTTTTAATATCATAGAACCATGGAGTGGTTTGGGCTGGAAGGACCTTAAGGACCATTCACTTCCAAGCCCTGCCAGGGATAGGGACACCCTCCAGATGCAATGAATAAGCAGCATTTTGTATTTCAACTTCCAGATTAATTTTCTTTGAGCTTGTAGCATAAACTCTATTGTGTTATAGTCTAACGTGATTAATTTTCAGACTTTGGGCAGAAGATGCAGAGCCAGGCCTTGAATTAGAAGAACACCATTCAATGGGAACCATGTCTTGCTTCCTCAATATTTGATGTATGTCTGCATCGAGGAGCTGCTTCATTTACTATGTATTCCTGGTTTATCTAGAGACTTAGTTGTTTTTCTGGAACCTGCTTCCCTATTCCTAGCTGAAAGCCTTCCTGAACTTCTCTCCTGGAGCTTTATTCTGCACTGCCTCTGCTCAATACTTTGCCCTGATTCAGATGCTAATGTGGTGTCTGGCGAGAGACTGAAATCAGCATATTGAGAATAGGTTTGAAAAAGACCTTTTTCTTTGTGTGCTCATATTTTATAACTAGCCAAAAGGGGAGGAGGAGGATGTGTTTTGTGACTGGTTTGCAGAGCTGGAATCCAAAGGGCCTAGGATTGCTGTGGCATTTCCATTACTATAGTCTGTTCTCTAATGTGGATCCCTTGTTATTAACACCTACGCTGCAGAGATGATGAAATGAACTCTTACACATTTACTACTCTTTACATGTTTGAACTCAAAGGGTATCACCTTGGAGTCAGAAAAGTGCAAGCAGAAAAGATGGAGCTTCCTTGGGTACTAGAGGTATTGCAGGGGGCATTGGAGAAGTGGAGGCTGTTGAGACACTGAGCAGGAACTGAGTTCTTTCCACTCTTCTCTAATTGTGCAAAAAAAAAAAGTGTTTTAAAATCTATTCCATTTAACTTTTTGTTCTGTCTGAAATCATGGAGGTAACATACACTCATAACAATTACAAATGGGATGTAGAAATGTTTAGGCAATTGAAAAGACAAAGAAAGAACTGGATTGCCTTTTATGGTTTTTTCTTTCACCCCATGGATTTGTTGGGTGTAATTATCTGAGTGTGGCCGATTTTCTGCCTTCCTTACATTAAATAAATGCAGTTTTCTAACTTCTGCCTTTTGCTGTCTGTCCTCCACAGCATCTTAGTTAAACCAGGGTGTTTTTTTCTCTGACAATTGAGCTAATAGAGAGATTTACTTGAGAATTAGTTATTTCTGTAAGACTTTGACAAATAATTGCTAGCCTTAGGTGCAAAGAAGCAGATTTTCTGTGCTGAGTAGCTTGTTGCTAAACCTCTTACCAACCTAAAGCCTTGCTGTAAGTGATCATCTATTAGTGAAATCCAGAGGTGCCTGTGGCTGTGTGCTGGGCTGATGGAGCAGGTCACATTGGCATCTCCACACACACAGGTGGGACCTTGTCTTTATTTCTTTGCTGAGGGAAAAGTCTTGCATGTTTGTTGGGTGTGAATCCAAGGCAAACTTGATCTGAACTCAGTTCCAAAGGGAAAGGTTGGGTCTACCAAGGGAAGGTCTGTACATATGTAGTAAGTTTTAGAGACTTATTTTTGCTTCAGTTAATTATTCTCTAAGGTTCAGAGTATTTCATACCTCATGGTGTAAAGACTTGTCTTCCTGCTACTTTCTGCATCTGCAGATAGATACAAGTTAAAACTGCCACAGCTAACATGTGGATATGCTCTAACATCTGTTTCTGGCTTGATTTATATCACATTTCTGGCTTTTCTTAGAGCCCTTCCAAAGCCACCTCTTCATTTGGTGTATGTGGGGACTCAGGGAGTGCCATGTATTTATAGACATATTAAAGGACATGTTTATTGCACTCATGTGATGCTTTCAGAAGTGTTTGGTTCTGTTTAGCTCAACCTGAGTCTTGTCCTTCCTCCAAGAAAGACAGCTCTGCAAAAATGCTGCTCTGATGAAGCTATTGGATGTGGAGTTTGATGTGTGATGGAGCCAGGGGGGGTTATCCCAGTGACAACAGCTGTTTGGCCCTTGTCTGACTGATGTTTAGATGCCTCTCTGACTGCCTCTGACCCTGAGGCTCTCTGGAAGGAGCTGCAGGCTTGTTCCTCGTCGCTGCCCTTGGCTTGTGTGGCTCTGCTGGGAAATGTGTTCTGGCCATGCTTGTGCCACAGTGACCTACAGGGCCACCACTTTGTGCCTGGACATGTGGGAGCACCATGGGGTGTCAGCTGGCACAGTCCTCAGCTGCCTGTTCCCTTCCTGTGGGAGCTAAGGAGGTGTCAGGAGCTGGAAAAACAGATCCCAGCTCTGGCAGAGAGGGGTGGGAAGGTGTTAGGCTTTGTTGTGATACTGGGGAGGACTGGAGGGAGAAGTGTGGAAGAGAGGAAGGTTGATAAGAAATATAGACAGACCCAGAGGGTATTTGGGAGCTAGCCAGAGTGTAAACAAATCACCCAGGAGGTGGGTTTGGAGTCATACCAAGTGAGGAGTGAATGGATGAAACCAGAAGGTAATTTAAGAGCATGGATATATACCAAGATCAAGAGGAAATGTTATCTTGATCCTAGTGTTTGGAAGACTCGTAGGAGGGAAGATGCGAGGTGAAATGGAAGAGATGGGTTTGTTTTAGTCAAAACACAGAGAAACAAACATTATGGTGGGGATGGGATGGGTGGATAAAAGGGGAATCAGCACAGCATGTGCCTGAAGTTGGGGAGCAGGATGGAGAGGGTGTAATACCTGTGGTGGTGAGGAGGGATTTTCTGTGTGAGTCTGTCAGCAGCTCTGCCAGTGTCAAAGGCGTGAGATAAAAGCTCCAGGGGTGCAGAGTCTAAGGGAATGTGGAGTTTGAATGATGGTCTTTCAAGACAAAATTCATGGGGTGTTGGGGTTTGAAATTATGATTCTGTATAGTGATATAAGCAAGATAAGCATGGAACAACTATAAAATACTGTCCTTTGGCATACAGCAAAGTTTGCTTTGCCTCCTTTGTCATTAAGATGTTCTGACAGATGATTGATTTCATTTTCCCATATGCAGCAGCTAGTAATGAAGAGGAGTGATATGTCTCAGTGCACTGACCAGGCTCTGTCATTAATGGTGCAAGTCAAAGATGTTAGTGCTTGGCAGATGTTGGGAAGTCAGTAAGTCATTTCATTAGTGGAATTACATGTCCATTTAGTTGAATTTATTCTGTTCTGCTTCACAGTTGAAAGATGCATGAGTGTCATGCAGTCTGGGACTCAGATGGTTAAGCTGAAGAGTGGAACCAAAGGGCTGGTCAGGCTCTTCTACCTGGATGAGCACAGGACCTGTATCCGATGGAGACCCTCCAGGAAAAGCGAAAAGGCAAAAAGTAAACTCATATTTCTTCTCATTTCAGTGTTAGCATGTGAATTGCAGAGGGATATGAGCTTTTTTATGCTTCTTTTAACTGTGTTATGGTACTTACATGAAGGTTTCTAAGTGTGTGAGTAGAGTTTAGCCTCTTAAAAGCTGAGGGTGTGAAAGGAAGGGCAGTGCAGTTCAGTTAGATGTCACATCTTCCATAGGTATATATGAATGAGCAAACTGAAGAGAGACTTGGCAACCAACTATGCTGAACTCTTCAGTGTATATGTTACAAATTTAAATACAGACCCTAGAAAAGTTTAGATTGAGGTTTAATCTCAGCTATGATAATTCTCTTCAGGCAATATTACATCTTGACGTGACTGTGCAGCATTATTTCATCTTGAAGCTGTTCCTGCTGCACTGTCTCAAATTGGAAACGCAAATTAGGGGTTTCTTGAATCAAATAAGGACTAGAAGTTCTCAGAGCTGTCAAGGAGCCTTGAGATGAAAAACAGGCAGTTGGGAAGGCTACAGATAGCAGCAGCTGATGTTTGTGGGTCAGTGTGTGGTGGTGAAGAGCACAGCTGTGGGGTGCCATGGCACTGGGAGCTGTGGTACTTCAACACAGCCAGGGTGTGGTAGTTATGCAGGGGTTCACTTGTTGATGGGAGACACTTGGTGTCTGTCTCTCCCTTTGGTAGCCTACAGTTCTCTGATGTGGAAGGGAGTGCTCAGAGATGTGTTGTAAGCAAGGAAACCCTTGAGTCAAATAGGAATCTTGGATATGAAGATGTAATATTAATAAAGTTTAATGACTCTTAACCTGAATAATTCAGTTGTTAAGACCAGAAAGAGATTGGTTGGCTATCCAAACACGTCCATTTTTTTCCCCTTTTCCCCCCAGTTGTCATCGACTCCATTTACAAGGTCACTGAGGGGCGGCAGTCGGAGATCTTCCACCGCCACGCCGAGGGCAACTTTGACCCGAGCTGCTGCTTCACCATCTACCATGGCAACCACCTGGAGTCCCTGGACCTGATCACCTCCAACCCCGAGGAGGCTCGCACCTGGATCACAGGGCTGAAGTACCTGATGGCTGGGATAAGCGATGAGGACTCTCTTGCCAAGCGCCAGAGAACACACGACAAGTATCCTTTGCTGGGCTCCAGCTCCTGCTTCAGTGTCCCTGGGTTGGCATTTAGTGGCTTCATAGGGTGTTCTTTCACCTATTAGGTGACCAAACCCTCCCATTGATTGCAGTGGAAAATTGAGTAATGGGTTTGACATGGACACTTGCATGAGCGATAAAGCATGGGCTGTGCCTTAGGGGGTGGATTAAAGTGCCCAGAGTCAGGGGATAGTCTTGCATGACGTTCTTTTAATGACATTCTTTTTGAAGGGTCAGAACAGTCACTTCTAGTTATTTCAATAAATACTGACCCCAGGATTATTTCAGGATTTCTGTCATCTTCTGTTTGCCCAACTGTGCTTTTATTCTGCTGCAACTTGCAGGGTCTGTCAGTGACACTGGTTTCAGCATGTACTAACTGCAAACTGGAGTTTGTTAGCCTCTGCACAGGGGGAACTCCAACATTTTGGGGAATAACTCCTGGCCATGTCCATTCCTCTTGATGTATGCCAGACATCTGTGTTCTTCTCATTGATTGTCAGCAGCACAAATCTTTAAAGCACCTTAAATCTTTGTTGTAGACTAGTGACCAAAATGAACTCCTTGTGGAGATCATGTCCATTGCATATTTTCTTTCACAACAGTACTGACTAGAATGTTATATACAAAGAACACTCTTCCCCCTAAAAAACTCAGTCCAAGCCCATCTTAATTAAAATTATAACCTGTCTATCTTTCCGCCTCATGGAAGTCTCCAGTGGTACCTTGTGAACACTCTTCCTGGAGAATATACATACTTCAGACATTCTTAATTTCTGTTTTCAGTGTGCAATTCTGATCGCCCACAGGCCCAGCCCCATTTGGGGTGAATTGCATGCTCTATTGCACACTCGCTCAGCTTGCTATATTTAACCACAGCTTTTCCAAGCTGCACATAGCTGCTGTGTCTTCTCTCCTGGTGAAACAGGACTGCAAGTCCTGCTTGGTTTATCCAATGTGGCAGCTGGGAGACTGCACACAAAATGACCAGGTCCAGCTTGGGTAAGGGTTTAGCAAGATGTACAGAGGGGTATATATGCAAGGAGGGGGAGAAAGGCACTGATTAGAGGCTGAAAGTCAAGCAGAATGGAGGGAGACGTGGAAGAAGATACCAGAGCAGGCCCAGCAATGTTTGAAACTTGGAGTATGTTTTCAGAGGAGAAACTGGTAGCAGAACTGGGAATGCAAAGGGGCTGGTGGTGTGAACTGAACTGTAGGTGATTGTCATAAACCTGTTCTGGTTTTAAGCATTTGATTGAAACTATAGCAAGGGAAGGGGGGGCAAGATTATTCCCCTGCCCAGCAAAGCTGGGGCAGAGCCTTGTTCTCCTGAGTCTTGTCCCTTACCTGCCCAGATACTCTGCCTCCCTGCTTTGAGAGGAACTCACCTCTTGTAGATGTCCTTGACATGCTTGTAGCTGGGTCAAGCAGACATTTGAGGAGGCTGACAAGAACGGGGATGGGCATTGAGGAGATCCACCAGCTGATGCACAAGCTCAATGTGAACCTGCCCCGCAGGAAGGTTCGGCAGATGTTCCAGGTTAGTTGGGGGAAAGCTGTGTCAGTTATGGTCTATTTCTGGGCAAATCCAGAGCAGGATCTGAAGGTTGGGACTTGAAACTCTCTCCAGCACATCACAGGCTTTTTCCAAATCTCACCTTTTCGTAGACAAAGGTGCATCAGGGCCTTGTGTAAATGACATGAACCACACAGAAGACAACATCAGTATTCCTCTTTCAGTTGCATTATTGCTTTCATCTCTGTGAGCTGAACTGCTCTGTGCTGGCACTGATGGATGATGAAGTTCCTCTGTTGATATTGAAATCTTTTTTCATTTCCTTTATGGAAAATTATTTAATAGAGATTGACTTTATGAAAGTAATTAGGGTCTTTTTTTTAAACAACCTTCTTGTGCTTAGCCAGAATCAGTTTTTTACTTCTGTTGATTAAGAACAGCTTCCATTTCCCACCAGCCCTTGTATTTGCTGTAGGAAAGATAAGCCAAGGGCATAATGGAGAGCCAAGCAAAGTTTTGTTAGGTCTCCCAAACCAGTACCAGTCAAAAGCTTTGCTGTAAAACATGGGAAAGGTAAGGAATCTTCCATGGTCAGAAGTGCTTTGTCTGGCATAGAACCCACATTTTGGGTACAACTTTGGGGTGTTGAGTTACTCTCCAAAGACTTAAGTGTGGAAACTGGTGGGACTGTGTGAAGAGATGAATTCAGGTTACACTTGTTCCATTACTATGAATGTCCTTTAAGAGATATAATAGATATTAAATTATTTTAAATCTCATTTGAGAGCAGAGAGCTGGGAATTGTTTTCCTGCAAGCTGATGTGCTGTTCCCGAGAAGGAAGAAGTGATGGCAGGATGGGGATCTCCTCCAGCTGAACAATTTGTATTTGGTGTTATCACTGTAGATGCAAGCCAACAGGTTCAAAGCCAAGTCAGAAGGACTCTGCACAGAAGGGGTTATGACCTGAGCTGATGGAAGCACCATTTGTGTCAGTACATGACTTGGGAATGGCAAGGAGGGTTGTAACTACAGAGCAAAACCCATTAGTTACAGCTTTGCCCCAAGCACATGACTCACAGCAGCACATTTCTAAACACTTATCTCAGTTTGTCTCCATTACCTGCCACAGCCTCAAACTTAGCAAAGTTGTATCTGCCCTGAAGATGGTTTTCCATCAGACCTACATAGTGTTTGTCAGCAGATCTCCAGAATATATTCTTTGTTTTGAAAATCCAAAGCAATCCTCTTAGGCAGATGTTCACAGGAAAAAGCTTGTATTAGCATGCATTAAGTATTGTTTTCTTCCCTTCCTACCTCTGAGGATAAACAAAAAACCAAGGCTGGGGATGTTTGGCACATATTTTGGTGTGGAGTCTTGCTGCTGCTGCAGGTTTGTCCCCTCTGCGGAGTGCTGACAGGGCTGGGAATGCTGCAGGTTAAATTAATGTACATTTAAGACTGATTTTGTCCTGAATGTTTTAAAATGTCAGACCCTGCTGTCAGGGGAAGCCATGTGGATGACATTACTATGCCCCTTGCTCTGTATTAATCCAGGATAACTGCAGGGCACACAGGAGGGCAAGAGATCAGAACAAAGCCCAGGGTGAGCCTCTTTACAGGGGGAATTAATTCAAAACTAAAGAGGGAAATTAGAGTTTCATAGAGAATCTCTGGCTTTAGTGCAGTTACTATTTTCACCAAGAATCTAATAGATGCCACTAGGATTTTACAGCTGTTGTGGCCTGTTGGGTTTGTGTCTGAATAGATTCCTGCAGACTAGAGTCTCCTCTGTGATGTTAAGGGAGTTCCCCTCCCTTACACAGGCCCTGCTCTATTTTATCTCCTGAACTCACCTGTGTGTCACACTTACCTGAGTGCCTTTCCCCCCTAGGAAGCAGACACGGATGAGAACCAAGGCACCCTGAACTTTGAAGAGTTCTCAGTGTTCTACAAGATGATGTCCATGCGCCGAGACCTTTACTTGCTGCTCCTGGGCTACAGTGACAAGAAGGATCACCTCACTGTTGAGCAGCTTGCTCAGTTTCTAAAGGTGGAGCAAAAGGTATGGGGAATGCTGGGCACTATTTATATGGACATATAAGTGCATTCAAGTATGGGGAAAGAATTCTATGGAAAAGCTTAGCTTGGAGCAGGAGGGTAAAGCAGGCATGTGACAGGAAAGAAATCTAACCACTTAGGGTTTTTAAAAAATATTTCTAGAGAGAGTTTGAACTACTTTGGAGAGTTTTTGAAGTGTCCAGGATGAGCTGAAGAGCAGTGATATGAGAGGGCACTCAGGGACCTGGAGCAGGAAGAACAACACATGAAAGAGGCAGAGGAGGTGTCATTGGGGGTCACAAGGACATTATGAAACTGCTGCTACAGCAGAAAAACCAAGTTGACTGTCAAGTCTGGCATTCTGCATCCTCTTCTGTGTCCAAACCCTACCTACAATGCTGAGTGTCTGCTCTAACTGCTTTGCTCAGCATTACTCCAGTACCAAACCATAACAAGAGTAAAAGCCTGAGCTCTTGCAGATGAACCTCCTAGCTGTGTAGTTCAGCAGCACCTTGAGCTTCCCTTGCCTCTTCCCTCTGTTCTTCTGACTCTCCAGCATTAACCACCTTAGGGAGATCCACCCTTTAATGTTCCCAGGACACAGCTGTGCTCACCATATCCTCAGGTAGGGCAGCATTGCCTCCAAAAACTGAGAATGCTTCACATCATAATGCAGCTCCCACGTGCCTTCAACCAAACAGCAGTTTGTTTGTGCCCTTGTCTGGCTGCTTGCAAAGCTGTGGGCAGTCTGTGCCACTCCATCTGCCACTCATTTGGCCACACTTCTAAACATTCTGCGGCCTGGGGACAGAACAAAAACAGGTTAGGGTTTCTGTTAGCTTGTAAACTGGCCTAGTTTTTTAGGAGAACTCCCTGTTGCCTTCAGCCCAGGGTTTGTGAAACACATTATTTCCACTTAGGTGCATTTCAACTCAACTCCTTGCCATTGCAATTGGAATTATATGGCTTCAAACGTCAGAGGAGCAGGAAGCAGGTTTCCTGGCGTGATTTCTGCTCCTGTAGTCCTCTTGGCATGAAGAGCTGTGAGGGAGGGACATCCCTGTGTGTCCAGTCACATCTGCATGCCTGAGTGTTGTCCCTTTGGGACTGTCCTTCTTTGACAAACCAGTATGCTTGTCTGAGCTGTCCTCCCCATCACAGATTGCTGCCACAGCAGGATCTCCAGGCTCTCCTGGCTGACACTTGTCTCATGGTTGGCTTTGAGGAGTGGGGCTCAGCTGAAACAGGCTCTACAAACCCCCTGTTCCCTGTTAAAGGGCAGCTTTGCAGTTTGGTGCCACTCTGGACCTGCCTCAGTGTGAATGACCTCATTCTGCCCTGGTCCTGAGAGCCCTGTAGTGGTGCTGCCCTGTGTTTGATTGTTGCCTGTCCTTCCTTCTTCCTTTCTGCTGTATCCAGCTCACATCCAGTGCTTTTATTTTAGTCCTAGCAAAGACCTTTTTGACTCCTGTGCTGACAGGTTACGCCCTTCTAAGGCTACTCCAGCATTACAAACCTGAAATGTTTAGTTGTGGTTTGGAGGGAGAGGTTTCCCATGGGTCCCATCTGCTGCCTTTCCATGGATCACTTACTTCACAACACAGGTTTCATCTGGCATGAGAAGCACAGCCTGCTGAGATCCAGCCCAGCAGCCTTCCCTGTGGGCTCCAGGCTGGGGAGTGATGTCCCTGGTGTGCTCCCTGTGACAGGAACTAGAGGGAGATGTTAATTCCACACCATGGACTTGGTACCAAAGTCCTTATTTTCTGGGGGTTTGTCTGCAGCCCAAAGGAAACTGATGGCAAAAATTAACTGCAGAGGAAGCAGTTTTGTAACAATTAACCCTCAGCACATGCACATGTAATTATAGGAGGCTCTTCCTTATTTATTCAATATGAACTGGTGTACAGTTTGAGTTAAGCCTGGGACAGTCATTGTCTGCTTTAGCTGTACAGTATCCCAGGAATAACCAGGGATGTGGTGGAGAGCGAAAATATGACAGCAAGTGGTAAGAAATGGGGATTAAGAACACTTAATCCCTTGGAACCACTCTACCTGCTCCCTTGGAAGAAGTTCCCAAGGGATGTAAGAAGACTGTGTGCCAGGGCATGTTTTGTGTTAGGCTGTGAGCTGTGTGTGTGCTGAAGGATATGAGCACCAAGTATCCCAAAAGGCACAGGGATATTATAAGAATATCAGGACATAATGGAAAGAGGAGAGACTGGAGCTTGTTGAGACCAGACAAGGAGGACAATGCTAGCTCAGTCCTTTCTGCTTTCCACAAAACCTTATCGCAGCAGCAGGGAATGCTTAGCTGGGAAGTGAGCAAAGGCTAATCAATAGAACTGATTTACATGCTGACTCCATATGTCACGACATTTTGCACTGACATTGGAATAATGTCTTTACTTTGATTATTTTTCTATTGATTTTCCTTGCAGAGTGACTAACTTTGAACAGACTCAGCCTGAGCCCTTGGAGCCCTGTTGTTGGTGTGCTGGTGTCTGGGCTAGGAACACCCTTATTGGCTTTGCACTTCTTTTCCCTAACTTCTCATCTGCTTTACATTCCTTCCTCTTATTTCTTTTCCCTTGAAAATGGGAAATGAGAATGATTCCCATTCCTAGCTCGTGGCCTTTGACAGAAGACTACATACAGAGCAGAGTAAAGGGAACGGTTTTGCCATCTGAAGGAGAGGTCCATTAGTAAGAGATGAGTTCACAGCAGGACCATTTTGGGATGTAAACAATAACTACTGTGTAATTTACATGGTGACTAACCTTTGCCTGGAGCAGTGATGCTCACAGAGAGGGCAGTGCATGTTCTGTGCTTCCAGTCTGCTCTGCAGGTCAGGTCACTTGAACTGGCTAGAAACAGGAAACAAGTGATGGTACAAACAACCTGCCAGAGGTTTCAGTGCCAGTGTTGGTGGTGGAGGAAAGGAAATACACCCAGTCCTATTTCTCCCTTTGGTTCTCCAGCATAAGGTTGGTGAGAGAAGATGACATGAGCGATCGAAACTGCTTCTTTCCTCTAGTTTTAAAGGAAATGTGTCTCCTTGCAAGTCCCCCACAAGTCACTTAAGACCCAACTGTTGGTTAGTTGCAGCTGTTGACAAAACTTCCATTTGTTTCAGAAAGGCTGCTGCTTTTCATTTCAGAATGTAATTATTTCTCTCCTAGCCTCTTTATTATAGTGAACTCTCTTGGAAGTAATGAAATCACAGGGGTGGAAAATGCATGAAAATGAAATCAAGCCCTGCCAAAGCTTTTTTGCATGTCTAAAAAGATTATATTAATAAAATATAATCTTCTAGTTCTCATTTCAGCAGTAGTGCCCAGTACAGCCATGAAGGGTGCTCAACAGCTGATTTTCATCCTGGCATAGGTTTGAAGTGATGGCTACATCTCACTCCTGTTTTCTCCTCCAAGTTAAGAGCAATGAGGCTTGTGCAGCACTGACAAATAAAAACTTAAGGTCCTTTTACAGCAGTGTTATTGACTGGTCTATTCAGATTTGACTTAACTCTGCTTGGTCATAAGGTTTTTCAGCTGGACCCAGAAGCCTGAAGTAGATCTTTATATGCTGGTGATGTGGTATTAAAAACAAGTGCACCAACAGTGTTTGTTTTCCTGCAGATGTACAGTGTGACACCAGAATATTGCCTGGACATCATACAGAAGTTTGAAGTGTCAGAAGAAAACAAGAAGCAAAATGTTCTTGGCATTGAAGGTAAAGGTTTTGATTTCAAAATGAGTTTTGCCTTGATGTACTGAAGTGCTTTACTGGAGTTTTGGTGACAGAAAGTTCCCCAGATCAACACTCAGGAGTGTGGGGGCACTTTGTGAGCCGCAGGGGAGATGTGAGTAGGTGGGGTGAAACAGCAACTGGTGTTCTCCAGCCATACATCACAGCCATCCTACAGGGATGGGGACAGATGCCTGAGGCTGTGTGAGTTTACTGCTCCCTGTGTGTCTGGAAAACACAAACAGACCATCCTGTACCATGTAGGTTTTGCTGTAGCCTGCTCAGAGTCAAGCAGTGAAAGCCAAGTTGTCGTCCTGCCCTGTCTCTAGAGCTGGAAACCTGCATAGTCCATTGGTTTATAAATCAATGGGAAAATAAAATACAGATAGTTGCATTTTCATTGGGTTTTAATACCTTGTTCACATTGTTTGTGAAAACAATTGTAAATAGTATTATCCAGAATCCAACTTAATATCAAATCACAATTGGAATTGGAATGAAATAGATTAATGCCATGGCATGTCCCTTTGCCCACTAGGTAACTATCAAGAAGCACATAATGTACAGGGTGACTTGGGGTTAGGGGAAGCAGGAGTCTTCCTCCACATGGTATTTAGATCCTGAGCATGGCCTCCCTTCACCCACCCTCTGATGTGACTTAGGGCACTGCACTGAAACTGAGACAAGGAACAGGAAATGAACAAGCTGTGACACTTATAAGATATTTCTGCAAGCATTTCTGTTCCTCTTAACCTTGTGCTGCTGCTTCTATCCAAGCTGCTGTCAGGGATGGTATTGTTGGCACTGTCCTTTGGAAATATTTTACATTTTTCATTCTCAAAGGAGGGATTTTTCCAGCTTTCTCTGCTCAGTACTGCTCTGATTTACAGGAATAGAAACCAGGTACCTTCTTGGATACATTTGCAGCATAGAGGAGCTGTAAATTGAGAATGACTGGAGTAGTGAATTGGCTGATGTGGCCACACAGCTCTCCTGGGTGGCTGCTGCCTTGTCTACACACCATCCTCAGCTTGGACAGTGCTCGTTTTACAGCACAGGAGTGTGAACAAGAAACTTTGGGGAAAACCTGTTTGCTTCCAAGTCAGGACATTGGTTTGGCTCCCATTCCTGTCCTGGGCTCTGTGCAGTTGTCACATCTTTCCCTGTGGGAGGAGTGTGCTCTGTTGCTTTTGTTCTTGCCCCATTCCTTTGGCCACACGTGTTGCATCCATGGCAATGGTGTCTCTCTTCATCCAAGGTTTCACCAACTTCATGCGCAGCCCTGCGTGCGACGTGTTCAACCCCCTGCACAGCGTCGTGCACCAGGACATGGACCAGCCCCTCTGCAACTACTTCATTGCCTCCTCCCACAACACCTACCTGTGTGGGGACCAGCTGCTGTCCCAGTCTCGTGTGGACATGTACGCACGGGTGCTGCAGGATGGCTGCCGCTGCGTCGAAGGTACGGCCTGCCCGGCTCAGCTCGCTGCTCCTGACACTCTGCTGGGGCTCTCTCTGAAGCGCAGAGCCAGTGGCACACTCACAGCACTCCTGCTTGGCTGGCTAGTTCCCATCAGCTGGAAACTCCTGATTTGGAGTTGTCTGAACGTAGTTTTTCTGTTGGGAATGACCATCTCGTCAGTGAAAATGTTTTCCCTGTTAGGGTGTTCAGGCACTGGGATATTGGCCAGGGAGGTGGTGGAGTCACCATCTCTGGAAGTGTTTAAGAGGTTATGGTTTAGAGGTTTAGAACACACAGCAGTGTGTTATTTCAATTGAGTCAAAGCTATAGTGGCTGCATTAGAGCCTAGGGAATAGTTCTGTAGCTTTCTCTTTATGAAGAGGTAACAGTAGTGCCGAGTTTGGTGTCAACCTAAGGTACAGTAATTCATTAGGAAAACCTTTCTTGTGCTCGTCCATTCTGCATGTGATGGATTTGATGTTGTGTCCTGGGTTGCCATGGTATGTATTCTATTTTCGTCTCCACTATAGTGGCTGCATTAGAGCCTAGGGAATAGTTCTGTAGCTTTCTCTTTATGAAGAGGTAACAGTAGTGCCGAGTTTGGTGTCAACCTAAGGTACAGTAATTCATTAGGAAAACCTTTCTTGTGCTCGTCCATTCTGCATGTGATGGATTTGATGTTGTGTCCTGGGTTGCCATGGTATGTATTCTATTTTCGTCTCCACAAGCTGTTAAGTTAAATGGGGCAGTGATCCTTATCACCATGTCCCTGATGGCTCCCTCAGGGGGCTGTCTCTGATTAATGGGCTGCCAAGGACCCATACATGACACATCCGCCCAGTGACCCTTATCGCCCTGTCCCATTGTGAGGTGACTCACCCCAGGGGTGGGGAGCCAAACATGCTCACAGGGATATAAGCCGGGGTTTGGACCAGCAGGGTTTGGACCAGCACAGGTAGCCCTTTGCCTGCTGGATTCCCAGAGGACAGGAGCTGCTGCTGGACCTTCAGGAGAGGAGCAGATCTGCAGGATCACTGCTCCAACAAAGCCATTGCTCCAGGAGGACTGCACCTACCATTTTAATCGGACTACTACTAACACCCTGACTGACAGGGTTTCAGGTTACTTTCTGACTCTGTCAGGTTATTTTTGTACTGTTGCATTTGTTGTTGTTTTGTTGTGCTGTTCATATTAAATTGTACTTCTGACTTGGAGTCTCTCACTGGTTTGCTTTCAAACCAGCACATGTTGCTCTTCATGTAATCAGTTAAAAAACTGCAAGTTATATTGGGAGTGGTAAAAGATAAATTGGTTATGAGTAGTTTGTGCTCAGAAGCAGAAGCTGCTTTATCAAGGGAGCTGTGAACATTATTTGACCTGTTACACCTTTGTCATTTTATATGTGAGGAAAAATCTCAGTTGAATATAAGGTGAAAAACCAAGTTTAGGTTGCAGAATTCTCATTTGATCTAGGAAATGACTGTCTTGTTGGTCTTAGCTCCTTTGGGAGGTCATAAGAGACGGAATGAGCCCTGTTGACACCTGCATGGCTGAGTAGTGTATGTGAGTTCTGCTGGCAGCAATGTGTAAGATCATGTGCATCTTTTAACACACAGCTCTATTTTGTCTTGATAGTGGATTGCTGGGATGGTCCAGATGGAGAGCCAGTGGTGCACCATGGCTACACCCTGACTTCTAAAATCCTCTTCCGTGATGTGGCTGAAACCATCAACAAATATGCCTTCATCAAAAATGAGTGAGTGTGGAGTTGGGTTTGAACTTACAGATCACAGGATAGTTGGGGTTGGAAGGGACCTCCAGAGATCACCCAGTCCAACCCCCTGCCAAGGCAGGATGACCTGGAGCAGGTGACACAGGAATGTGTCCAGGTGGGATTGGAATGTCTCCAGAGAGGAACGCTCCACTCCCTGGACAGCTGTCAGCTCTCGGTGTCTCTTTCCTGTAGTTAATCCCATGTCCAAATCATAGCCAACATCAGGAAGTGCATATATTCCTCTAAACACATTGGAAACTTCTCGGGTTGATTCTGTTCCCCTGTTTATTGCCTATGCGATGTTTGTTGTTCACCTGCATGAGCTCTTTCCATAGATCAAGTGAGAAAGTTCAGCCTTTTTTGCACTGTAAGCTCCGTAATATTTTCACCCGTCTGACACTGTTGAATATCTTCCAGCAGAACTTCCCACTCATGTCCATGGGGAAATTTACCTTCAAAATCAATACTGAGATGTTCTCTACCTACAGAAAACACTTGATTTCAGCAGGCAAATTGAAAAGTTGTCACATGGGCAGGAGGAGGAAATACTGAGATGTGGGATAGTCTGCTGGTTCTGTTGCATTTGCCATGGTGCTACAGAACTGTTTGTTAGGAAAACCTTGGAGTTTAACCATATATACATATATATGCACACACCAGTCTCAAACCATGAATGAGTGTAAAGAACATTGAGTAGTTTAGAGGGAATAAAGGGGAAATGCTTCCTTCTCTTCATTAAAAAGAAAGAAAAGTGACCCAGCGATGGGTGTGTGGGGAAAAAACCCAACCAACCAAGCCCAGAGGTTTGGTGTTATTGATGAGAAACAGGAGGTGGCAATTTCAGAACTGAATGAGGTGATTCTGTCTTTGGTGTGGACTTGGCATGATGAGTTCCTTTTCGAGGACTGTGGGACTGCCAAGAGTTTGTGGGGCAAATCCATGGAAGAAATAGGCTGTTCTGTCTACAGTTGGTGTGGTGAGCTGTGCAGGTGTTCTCTCTTCACACCCAGTTATGGCAATGTCTGGGGTTTGCTTCTAGGTTTCCTGTGATCCTGTCTATTGAAAACCACTGCAGCATCCAGCAGCAAAAGAAGATTGCTCAGTACTTGAAAGAAATATTTGGTGACAAACTGGACTTGTCATCTGTAAGCACTGAAGATCCCAGGCAGCTTCCTAGCCCTCAGAACTTGAAAGGGAAAATCCTGGTGAAGGTAATGTGCTACTGATGGTGTGTTTGGAATGCAACCAATGTCAGCATGTGATGTTCATTGTACATTTTCTCTGACTTTGAAGACCCAGTTCATATTCCTTTAGTATCAAAGAATTATCCTACAGTCCTCCCTTGGACAAAGTATTTTGGGGTAACATAAAAGTATCAGAAGATGTTTTGTATTTTCTGCCTCTCCCCTCGCCCTGCTCTGAGCTGCAGTTCATGGACTGAAACCCTGTCCATGGTTCCTCAGCTGTTGTTATGGAAGAGCAGCACTTCAGAGGGAGCTCAGAGGCAGTGAGGAAGGAGGCACTGAGCACTGGAGTTAGTGTTGTGCACTCCTTGTTTGAGACTCTTGCTGGAAATGGGTTTGATCTGAAAGGAATTCCAAAGCCCAGGATGGATAGGATGAGAGAGAACTGCAAGAAGAACTTTGAGAGGATGCTTAGGAGAGATGTGCCTTATTAAATTGTCTAATTCACTTTGACACATGGGGGTAGTTACTTCGCTATGAGCTCTCAAGATACTATTTCCCCCTCTATCCTCTGTCTCAAGCTTGGCTACAGAGATCACCATCTCTGTTTGATGTAGTTTGAACATACTTCAGTGTATAGCAAGAGCTGACCCTGAATTAGAAATCCTTTGAGTGCTCAACTGTGATTTTGAACCTCACCGAGTGGTTTTTCTGGGGTAGCTGCTGGTTAATGAGCTGTGCAGGCCTGGAGGGTTGGGGTTTCAGGGGCTCAAATGAAATGGTGTGTGGTGCCAGTTATGCGACTAACCCAGCAAATGTGGCATCAAATCCCATGTCGGTGCACCAAAGGCAGGAGAGGTTTGGTGCTCTGCTTTTCTTACTTCAACTTTGGAGCTGGTTTTCTAGCACATTTGAGTTTGTGATTTCTCTCTCAGTGCTGAGGCCCTGTGGGCAGCACAGAGCAGAGTGGAGCTGAGCTAACATTTGCAGGACGAGGGATGCTGTTTCAGGCACCAAAGGATCCTTGCACTGAGCCCTGTCTCCCATCCCCTGCTCAATTTAAGCAGCCCTGCTGGGAAAGATCAAATCAGGCTTAGGAATCAGTGTTGTGTTGAGAAGTAAGCAGTTTCTCATCTTTTTGCTATTCTCTTTTTGTACATTTTCCTTTGAAAGGCAGTATTGATCCATTAGTCAAGCAAGTTCAAGCAATGGCATCATTTTCATCTTGCTAGAGTAATTCTAATAATCCTCATGGGTTTAAGCCAGGATAAAGGTGCCAATGTGAAGTGGATTTGACCCACTCATTAGCAGCTGCATTATTAGCTGAAAAATGCAGCTTATCAACCAATCTCTGCATAAATCTGTGTGATTCCTGTCTCCCTCTGTCACCCATGAAGCAGGTAAGGCTGGGAGCATTTCTGCACACAGAAGCAAGAATAGGTGTTTTATAGGTGTTTATACACAGAAGTTTAATAGATGATTTATTAAGGAGCAGATGGTAAAAGCAAGAGGTAATGGCCACCAGTTACAGCTTGGGAGGAGCAGACTGGGTAGGAGCGAAAGCTTTTCCAACTGGGGATAGTGCAGCATGAGAGTCAACTCAGTCTTGGGGCAGTTGGGAAAGGGAAGGTGGTATGCTGGTTTGGAAAGAGCTGGCAAAAATCTTTCAGTAACAAACTCTTCCAGAAATACGTACATTATCCCCTGTGATGATTGTGTCCTTGGGTCAGTTTTCTTGAGACACTCAAAACAAATTCTAAACTCTGATCACAATTTGCAAAAGGAACATGTAATGGGCTGTTTTGGTCTTTGCACTAAATAACAGACCACATGTGCATTGATTGTGAATGGTTTTTCCCCATTTCAGGGTAAGAAGCTGCCCTGCAGTCTGGGAGCAGATGCTGAGGAAGGAGAAGTTTCAGAAGAGGACAGTGCTGATGAGATTGAAGATGACTGCAAACTAAAGCCTTGCTATGTATGTGTACTCAGAGCACCCAGAGCTGTGACAGCTCTGCATGTCCTATATGCACACTCCATGTCCTACTTAGAGCTGTCAGCAGAGAAGAGTTTCTAACTTCTAAGTTTCTGGTTCCTAAGTCAGGTGCACATTGCTCTGTAGGGTCCATCTTTATCCCAAGTGCCTTATGTTACAGACTGGTTTTGTCTGTGTAGTCCATATGATTTGTTAACAGGAATTCCTTCCTTATCACTGGAGCAGGAACCTGACGATGTTTGAGTTATCTCTTATTTTAGAGGCAGTGTGTAAGTGCCTTAGCTGAGAATTCTTGCTCTTCTGAAAGGGAAGATTGTGCTTGTGACAGCTGTGAAACAGAGTGACCCCAGGGCAAGGGGCTGAGGTGGGCTATGTGGTTGGGCAGTGTGAGCTGTGTCAGGAGAGCTGAAGAGAGAAAGCAACATGGAAATGGCTCTAAAAGCCACCAGTAGTAAAGGCAGAATTAGGCAGGATTATGCAAGAAGCTTTCTGTGCTGGTTTGAGCTGAACTAGAGTTAACTTTCTTCACAGAGGCTAATATGGGGTTCTTGGCCAGAGAAAGGAAATGTTGGGAGAACAGTGTGACCTGAAGTGTGTAATGCTCCCTCAGGCTGTCCCACAAGTGATGGACACAATCCTCTGCTTTAACTGACTTCCTTGGATGTCTTTCAGAGTAATGGTGCAACTGAGCGCCAGGTGGAATCTTTCATAAGGACAAAACTGGAATCTCTGATAAAAGAGTCCCAAATCAGGGACAAGGAAGATCCTGACAGCTTCACTGTGAGAGCTCTGCTAAAGGCCACTCACCAGAGCCTCAATGTTAACCTGAAGCAGGTATGTGGTTCTCTTCTTCACGTGCTCTGCTCAGTGTTACACAGTGCAGTGTGTTGGAGATTATTTCAGATGAGAAAGCTAACAACGCAGGAACAATTTCTGTGAGTTGGTTTTATCCACAATGAGAACCTGGGACTTGAGTATATCAACAGCAGTTACTGCCTTGAGTCCACAGTGACTACACTTTGACCTCATCCTTCACCTCATGCAGACCCAAGTGATGTTAAATACAGAATGAATTGTTCTGTGGAGATGTGCCTGGAGGTGTAACCAGGGTAGTTGTAAAGGTCAAGTACATGTAGCTCTGCTTTTTGCACATCTTCCCACCCTGGGGCTTCTGTATTTCTTACCAATCTCTTTCTCCAAACTGGACCTGTAAGACATTTCCATGAAGCCAGGCCTGACTACAGTAAACATACTTGACTTGAGATATCTGGGGAAGGTGTGGTGTGGTGAGAAGAGTTTAAGAGGCAAAGGATGAAGCATCTGACCTGATAGAGAAGGGTCATTTCAGACTGTGGCTTTGCATTCAGCCTGCTGGTTCCCTTGGGCCGCCAGAAAAGTGAGATTTCAGTGGGCAACTCCTCCTACTAGGAAATATGGTCAGTTATGAGCCATATCAGCATTGTTTTGTGTTAAAATAATGACATTTAGCATGTTCTCTGGTACCTGGAAAATGGCCAGCCTCTAGAGAGCACTTGAGGGAGTTTTGTTTAAGGAATGCACATTTCCATCTGGGGTTGGATGTGATACCTGAGATTGCCCATTACAAGGTATTGATGTGACCAGAACACTGAGATACCTCAGTAGTGCAAGTGTGTTACTCAAACATCTGTCAGGTGATATGAAGGGATGGAATTTTCTATTTGACTTAATTTATGAAGAGATATTTAGAGATCTCTTCCCCTGCTGCAGCAGTGTGAGGATTGATTGTGTATGACTGCTGTTTTCAAGGGTATTAAAGCAGTACAGAGCTGAATAATTAGGAATAATAAGTTAAAACAATTGGAAGATCAATTTATAGCAGTGCTGACCTAGATGAGAGAAATTTAACAAGTTAAGCATTGTGCTGGTTTGGTGCTGCTGTAACTCATCAGCTGATTTTGTGTAGGGGTCTTGTAAAGCTCCTTTTTAGTAGTTACTGTGAATTGTTGTACCAGAAAGGGATTGCTTGGGACATTTGTGCTGGTCAAATCTTACTTTACTTCCTTACTGATGTGCCTTTCATTTTCCCCAAGACTCTATTTTAAAGGGGGGAAAAAAAAGAGAAGGAAAAAGCATCTACAATGCAAGTTTATAATCACATCTCCAGTAACTGTCCAAATGGGGTTTGGAGGGTGAGGGAGGAAGGCAACAGGTCAAGTACTGTCAGTCAGACCCGATCCTAGTTTGGATTTGCTGTTGAAACTGTCAGCTCTGTCTTGCCTGAGGAAAAAATGTATTTATCTGCTAAGGTTTCCTTCTACATCACACAGAGACTTTCAGCCCCAGCTGGGAATAAATCTCTCAACACAGATACAAAGGTTATTGACTTTCCTGGGCCTGGAGAGACCCTCTAGTGCTCTTTTTGTCAGGATAGCCAGAAGTGAATGCAGCTCAGCACTGAGCAGGGAATAACTGAGTTCACAGGAGTTGCTGAAGTGCTGGGGGAATATTCTTCAGCTTTGTTTTGCACTGCAGAAGATGAAGGGCTGTGTGTTCTGACAGAAAGAGCTAGATGCTGCCAGGAGTGGTCCAGCTGATGTCTAGGGGCATGGCTGGAAATATGAAGCTCACATTCCAGGCTACTGTGAAAAGTCCACATTTATCTCTTAGGAGATTATTTTTCTCCTTTTCCTTTGTGGCTGTTTCCAAGAAGACTCAGACATGGTTTATTCTTGCTTGCCTGGTTTGCTAGAGTGATTTTTCTGCATGGTTTGTTGTTGTCTTGAGTGTTAAAATTCATATTTTTCTTTACTGTTAGAGGATTCTAAAACACAAAGTACATAAAGGAATTAGAAAAGTTCTGTAATGAGATTTTGGGTTTCAATTTGTGTTCACAGATCAGTGTGAGGTGTTTAGACTTTCTCTCATTTGCAATCACTGTGCTTTTTTAATAGTGACCAGGGGGACTTACAAGAACGTGGGTTGAAACCATGTCTTTTAGAGACTGAAGCACATCCTTAAAGAAATTTCTGAAGTTATCTAGTTACACTCATTATTGTACTTTCTCTGCACAGAACCTGGACACGAAAGAAGGAAAAAAGTCTCATGGTCGATCATTAATGGGCAACTTTGGCAAACACAAGGTAAGTGAAGGAGAGGCTCAGGTTGCTGTTCTGGGACTGGCAGCATTGCTAACTGTCTCAAGAAATGAAACACTCCCAGAGTCTCTGCAAAGACTGTGATTATACTTGCTATTCAGGAGGATATTAGCTGCCAGCAGGATGGAGAACCCTCTAAAGACAATCAAAAACTTTTGCCTGGTCTGAAATATCCTCCTTACTAGTGAGGGGGAATTGCTCATTTTCTGACTGAACTTGTAGCAGCACAGACAAATTCCTTGATATGTTCTTGCTTTCCAGATCTGAGTCCACATAGCTGACAAGGTTTGGTTCACTCAGGGCCCAGTTTGGCTGTGTCACAGCCTGAGTAGTGTGAGGCAGAATGTTCTGTCACTGTCCTTCTGCTGGTTTGAAGGGATTGTTGTGACTGAGTGCTGCTGCTAGGCTCCTGCTTGGTACAAACCTGCTCTTTTCTGATCTCTTAATGGGTTTGCATGTCCTGTTGGTGTTTGTGTGGCTGCTGGGTCACACTGCCTGCCTTGCTGCCTTCTCTGGGTTGGCTCTCTTCAACCAGGCAAGAGCTGACAGAGTTCAAACAAGGGTGAGGTCTCATTTTACAGCTGGGCGGAGAGCAGCCACCGAAAGGGACAGTGCTCCTGTTTCCTCCCATTCCCATATCCTGACAAATGTGTTCCTGTCATCCACCTCCCTTATTCCCACAGTGCCTTGAGGCTTGGATTTATAGCCTCTGCATGAGCTGATTCGACTTGAAAGCTTCCTTCCTCCCAGGGTCAATTAGCACATATAAAGCAAGTAAATGAGCAGAGGGACATGTGGCAGGTCTGCAGCTCAGTCCCTGTGCCACCAATAATTCCCTATGCCACCAGCCTGCCAGACACTGGTACTCCTCATCAGTGTTACCCATGGTGAGAGCTGCACAGAGCAGGGAGCACACTCGGAGATGGATAATCTAATCTGAGCAGTGCTTTAGGAAAAACAACAATCAAGGAATATTTCATAGAGCTTTACCAGCCACCAGTCCATCTACAGCCAGTTAGGAGCCATCAAACATTCTCTAGGCAGACAGTATCAGGACTCATATTTACACTTCAGTTCTAAGCTTACATCAGTTTAAGGTGCTCACGTTTCCTTCGGCAGCTTTAGCTGAGTCCAGTCGCTCACTAGGTGTGTGTTGAGATCTGCAAGTACTTGTTGTGCCCTGGTAGTGAGCAAACACTTTACATCTCACTCTGTGCTTGCTGCTGGCCAGACAAATCTGTGCAGTGAGATGTCATGGGTAAAAGTTAGGCACTGCAATCTGCTGGTTGTGCTGAGGGCTGGAAAGCATGTCAATAATTCAATTACTTCAGCTAGTTTTCTAATGGGTAGAGCAGGTTGGGAAGCCAATTCCTTTCATCTCTGCTGAAAAAAATCAGGGGATATATAGATTTTATTTTTTAAAATAATGATTGTCTTGTAGACAGAGGCAACAGAGACATCCTATAACTTCCCCCTGCTGCCCTTCCAGCCAAAGGGCTGCCTGGGAAGGCTGGTTCCTATTGATGTTTTTGCAGATACAGAACTATCCACCCAGAGATATTGATGTATGACATTTTCAGGCAGCTCTGGTGCCAAGGGTATCTATGGATAAACCCTTTAAAACCTGCCAGTGGAGGGACAAACACTAAAACTGACAATTCCTGCATGTTACCTGCAGGGAACATCCACGCTGCAGAGCTTCAGGTTCCAAAACCACCATGCAAATGATTTCCAATATAGTCAGATTTATGTCAGCACTAAACACAGCAAACTAAGTTATGTTCAGTATTGGTGTATCTCAACAGGAGGGAAGAAATCTGTGTTCAGTGAGCTGTGTGAGCAAAAGGATAACGAGCTCTCAGTTATACTCTTAATTACCTCTTGATGAGAAGGGAATTAGGTAACTCTCACTTGAAGCTGTGGTTAATGTTACAAAAGAAGTAATGTTGAGATTGGAAACTGTGGAATCATAGGTGTTTATGGAAAAAAGGTGATCTGGAGATTTTTGTCTTTATCATAGCTATTTTCTTTATATATATAATGTATATGTATATAGTGTATGCGTATATATATATAAGAACTTGCATGTTTGTATGTGGCTCAAAAGGGAGAAGAAAGGTGATGTTTGAAAATTTTGCCTGGACTCTGTTCTCAACTCCACTTCTGAATTTGTTAAACTTTCCAATTTAATGTTAAATTATCTAATTTTAACATTGAATTTGTTAAACTGGTTAAAATAATTTTGAGAGACAGGTATCTGCCAAAAAG